TTAATAAGTACTGCAGCACAATGGCACGGAGTAGAGTTTGTATGTTCTCCCTCACCCGAGTCTGTGTAGATTTCGGGCACACAAACACACGGCTTCTAATGGAATGTAACAGAGTGGTGAAATGTCAGCCTGGCCTTTTTCGAGTGTCTGTGTGTGTGGCTGGTAGCAGCAACACTCAGCACTCACATGTTTTTGTATGGAATGAATTACTTTCACTGCATTCAAATTCAAACGAGCCACATGCCAAACCATTGTCTCTCTGTCGCCTCAGTCCTGGATCTATAGCCTCAGTGCTGGGTCTATCCTCAGGTCTATGCAGCTCAAGCTGCTGTTTGAACAGAAACCCACCTCCTCCTCATCACTGCCTCTTTATGTCTTCTTCGTGTAGGCCCCGGGGGTCGCAAGGTCATACTTTCTATTAAAACTCTCTTCCTGCATACGTCATTCAGTATTCCTGCCTGCCAGTGTCTAATTGCCCAATCCTAATGCAATAAAATATATAGTACTCAATCTAAGTCTGCTGGTGTCTATTAATACATCTTGATAATAAAACATTCTTTTACAATCTTTGTCTCGAGTCTCTCCCGATGTAATTGTATTTCCTGCATTCAAACTGTTTGTTTCCCTGATCTGTTGTTGGAGAATGCAGCCAGTCTGTCAGATCGGGCAAAATGGATGGATACAGGAGCCGATTGAAGGTAGGAAGCGGGGTGTACTAATTATTCATCTCTTTCCTACATTTGTCTAATTGATTAAATATCTACTCCACCTCATCTGTGTCCTTCTCCCTGTCCTGCTCCCTGACCTCCTCCCTGTCCTCCTCCCTGTCCTCCTCATCAACAGTAACGAGGGGGCCTCCACACTTGGGACTCACCCTTCCAGAGATCAGAGCACCGCAGGGGGCATGGTCAGTCTGCCCGACCTGTCTGAAGTGCAACATGTGGTATTAAAGCAGACTAGTTTCTTTAAACTTTTTGCCCGGAGGAAACCTACGCAGACACGGGGAGAACATGCAAACTCCACTCAGAAAGGCCCTGGTCCGACCGGGATTCCAAACCAGGCGAGAGTGCTATCCACTCAGCCACCGTGCGCTGCAGTAAACAATAGAAATCTGGCACTGACATCAGCCGCTTTCAGACCTGACGCTAATTAGCAGCAAAGAAACAAGAATTAATTTAATAAAGTAATATTTCAATTAATTATTGATCAGGTTAATTAAGCGTGTGGGGGAAGGAGGGATGGGGACATGAGGGGGAGGGGGGATGATGAAGATGCCTGTAAATGAGAGTAATTAGGAGCAGAGCTCAGAGGCGACAACACAGGGCACACACACACAGACTTACAGACACACACAGTCTCACACTCACACACACTCACATATATAGAAAAAACAAAGAACAAACACACCATTTGTATATATACATATATATATAATATATATATATATATATATTATATATATATATATATATATATATATATACTGTATATACACACGCACACACACATCTGTTGTCACTTTAAAGCCTTTTGAAAAGCTGAAGAGAGACGTAACTTCTCTTCTTGTACATGTTTGGATCATCACTGTCCTTAGACACTCTCATATCAGTAAGGAATTTATTAAATTTCAAAAGGGGGAAATATTCATCTCTTTCCTACATTTGTCTAATTGATTAAATATCTACTCCACCTCATCTGCGTCCTTCTCCCTGTCCTGCTCCCTGTCCTCCTCCCTGTCCTCCTCCCTGTCCTCCTCCCTGTCCTCCCTGTCTTCCTCTGTGGAGTAAAGGTGACGAGATGTGCTCTAACTGTGTCAGTGATAATTGTCAGGCAGGGCCCCGGGGCCCTGTCCCAAGGGAACAGAGAATACATATGAGAGCTAACTCAATTAAAGAGCCAATGCTTTTGCCCGCAGAGAAGTGGAGCGAGTCGGAGCTCAGAGGAGCTGCAGGAGAGTGGAGAGGCACCACTCAGTTTAGTTAGCAACTTAAGAATTTTACTATTACAGTAATTAGCAAACTATCTGTAACAAGAAGAAAGAAACATCCCATATGATTGACAAGTGTCAGACAGCTCTACTCTGCTCAACTCTTTCTGCTCCCTGCTCTACTCCACTCTACTCTACTCTACTTACTGCCCTGTCCTGCTCTACTCTGTTCTGCTTGGCTCTGCTCTACTCTAAAGAAGACTAAAGAAGGGCAGAGTACTGGTAAAACAGGGCTGGTGGAAACTCTTCCAATAAGGGCAGAGTGAAGTAAAGTACAGTAGTGTAGAGAAGAGTAGGGCTGGTGGAAACAGGGCTAAAGCAGCCATTTTAAACAAGTGCTGTATGTGTTAGCGCTCTCTTAAAGACCTGAACAAATTGACCTGCAGTTATTTCAGAGCTTTCAACGAAAGCAGCCGCTTTATTGGAGGAAAAAACACCTAGAATGTAACTGTCTTTTCAAGAGTGAGAGAAATGCCACACACAAGTCTGCTACACACAAACAGTTCATACACAAGATAACTCAAAATGCTTGATAAAACAAGAAAACAAACATGAAAATAATAAGTATTCTGTAAATGATAAAGAGTGAAGTTACAATCCTCTTTTTGTCATCATGTAAAATACTCAAAATTACTCATCTGCAAATGTATTTGTTCATGAGCGATAGAAATTAATACCAGGCTTAGGCTCAGAGGGAGGCGATGTTAGGAGGAGGTGTTGGAAAGGTCATCTCTCCTCCCGTTCCCGCTCCCACAGGGCTCCAACGCCAACGTGTCATGAGTGATTAACAACATCACAGGAATAATTAGCTCGTAGTTTAGTCTAATTATGTAGCATTACAGATTATTCTGTCAGAAGGTTATGGCACATTATATTTGAGGACCTTTGTCTGCTGACCTCTGTAGTCCTTATATGTATGTTTTTTTTACAATGTTTTCCTCTAGTGGAACCCTTTATTTAGGTCCTCACAGAGATAGACTCACAAGGATCTACAGCCTCATTCCTGGATCGATAGCCTTGGCCCTCGTTCTACAGCCTTGGCCCTCGTTCTACAGCCTTGGCCCTCGTTCTACAGCCTTGGCCCTCGTTCTACAGCCTTGGCCCTCGTTCTACAGCCTTGGCCCTCGTTCTACAGCCTTGGCCCTCGTTCTACAGCCTCAGTCCTTATTCTACAGCCTCAGTTCTGGATCTACAGCCGCAGTCCAGCATCAACAGCCTGTTCATCCGTGAGACAAGATCCCTCTCAATTACTCAATTACTTATGCATATTTCTGGACAGTGGTTCCTCCCTATGGACCAGCGGCTTCTATGTGTTTGTTACTATTGTAATTCCTCAGAGTCCTCAGCGATGACTGCTGCTATGATTTGGGACGCGAAACAAACTGAATTGGATTTAATTGAACAAGGCACTCCACAAGTTAAAATGAGACAGATAAAAATAACACATTAAATACACAGTAATAAAATACAGTCCCAGTGCTAACAGACTGCAGGTGACCAAAGTCTCAACATTTTAGATGTGGCTTGAATTACTTTGTGGATTCCAGGGTTCTCAGATCCAGCTTTGGTGCCGCCGACTCAAAAGCTCGATCACCAGTGGTCTGCAGTAGTTTATGGGACTGAGACCTCAGACTGCGACCTGGAACCTGTTTGTGCAGAAGGTCAGACAGGAGCCGATGGCAGAGCTAACACTGGTGAATATCACTGAAATGCAGCAAAACAGTTTATTGAAAGGCTAAATCCTAACTGCTGCAAGTATACAGTGTGTTGCTATCATTTGGACCTTAAGTTATGGCTCTATTTGAAATTTTGTTAAAGCGAAAACTTTTCACTTTTCAAACATAAAAATAATCCAAAAGTATTCCAGCAAACCGTCTTACATCTATGCAATCTAAACGTCTATGCAATCTAAACATCTATGCAATCTAAACATCTATGCAATCTAAACATCTATGATGTGCGATGGCATCTAATTATTTAGAAAAAATACAAAATAAATATATCAATATAAATACAAAAAAAAGCTGTCAGATTTACTGCTCCCAGATTTCAACTGTTCCTCTTGTTCTGTTTTAAAGATCAATGCACTGAAGGTGTTTTAAGCATGTAGTAGTTTTCCACAAAATCCCTTTTAGTTCTGAACACTACTTTTTTCATAGTGTTTTTATTTAATAAACACACAGTTGTGAACATTCATCACCACAGTACTGCGGATCGCCACTGGGAGGAGAAGTCGGTCCATCCCTTGCGCTGCTGTGGTTTCAACAGAGCCGTGACAAAGTGCGTTCAAGTGGCCATCGTGAAACCCACAGTGTCGCTGACAGAGACATATGGAACAATGTGGATAATGAGTCTATTCTCTGATTCTGATGTGCTTCATCTTTGGCTCGTGCTCAAACATCTCCAGGGTTCTTCTGTTGTAAAGAGTGGAATTGGACAGAATGGAAAGTGAAAAGGTGAAATTCCACATGGGTTATATTGTCTGTTTCATGGCATAATGATGGAACCCCTGAATCTGTCTACTTTTACCTGTGGCCTGGTCTCCCCCGGCCTGATGGGAGCCTCTTCAGTCCTGCACTGCACAACCTCAGTCCTGGATCTAACCTCAGTCCTACTGTTGCTGTTGGACTCTTGTATATAGTAATAATTGTAACAATTTTACCTTTGGATTTTTATATTTTACAGAATTGTATACTTTAGAAATGTCTTATTATGCCTTATTCTATATTCTCTATACTTCTGACTTGTTTGCACCGAGAGCCAAAGCAATTTCCTAGTCTGTGACTTCCTGTTACTTACATAGAAATATATATATATTTAAATAAGCACTATTTCAATTAATTAGTGTGTGATATATTGTGTGTGTGTTTGAATTATATACATAATTGGATGGATTATAAGTACACAAAATGGACATTTTGAAGTAGCAATATATATTTTGTGTTTGATTCTCTGATTTGTTGTTGCTGAATCAACAACTTAAAAGTCCCCCAACACAACTGCTGCTGTGATACACGAATAAAATGATACACGAATAAAATGAATCTATTGTCTTCTTAATGAACAGACTAGAGCTGAAGTCGTTATGGTAACGGAAGTAGGATAGATTGTATACGTTTTTGTTTGTGTTACAATTCCTTTGTTTTAAAATGAGTATTCTCTGGTAAATCAGAATCTGCAGTCTGCATCTGTAAAGTTTCAAAGGGCTGCCGGGGGCCCTTGGTTGATGTTCTTTACAACCCAAATACAATTATTTAAAAATATAAAGTCTTCACAATAGCTGGGCCACGCAATAGTTGAGCTGGACCTGCTGTAGTGTAAGGTTTTGTCACTCCCACGAACAGGCCACATCTCTGATGACGTCACTCCCTATACATTACATTATTTAAACGGTAATGTCCTATTGTACTACAAACGTGTTTTTTTCATTCGCATGTCCCTATAATGTATAAGGAGAGAGAGAGAAAGAGATAAGAGAGAAAAAGGGCGGGTCCTTTGTTGACTGAAGGCTCCCATGTCCAATCACTGGCTACTGTTTGAGCTGCGGGGGTGAGAGGGGGAACAGTGATGTGAATGTCTCAGTGCGGAGCGCGGAGCTGAGAGGCTACAGGCTCAAATACGGAGCGACCAGAGAAGAGAGGAACACGGGGAGAGTCACTGCGCAGTCCCGGGACAGAGGAGCGACTGGACAATTGCTCACTAACCACCAAAGAAATACGGGGTCACTTAAAGACAACTTTCCACCGCAGAGAGACGCGGTCACCTGAAGACAACTGTCCACCGCAAGGAACAGAGACGCACCGTGCAGCAGATTGGAGACGCCAGAGTCACCGCGGAGACAGGAGCAGAGCTTTACTGAGTGGATGTACGGGATGTGACGGTGTTTGGACTCGGTCAGATGGGACCCGCGCAGCACAGGACTGTGGACACGGACAGTGCGCAGTGACGCGCGTTGTTTCTGCTTGTTGACACCGTGAGCTTTGGCCGTGATGCTCGCGCTGTGCCTCGCGCTGTGCCTTACGCACGGGGCTTTGGGGCAGATCCGGTACTCGGTCCCAGAGGAGGCAGAACACGGCACACTCGTGGGAAACATCGCGGAGGACCTGGGGCTGGACCTGACCAAACTGGCCTCGCGCCGGTTCCAAGTGGTTCCCAACTCCCGCAGCCCGTATCTGGAGGTGAACCTGGAGACCGGGGTCCTGTTCGTGTCCGGGCACATCGACCGCGAGCAGATCTGTAAGCAGAGCGCCAGCTGCCAGCTCAACATGGAGGTGTTCCTGGAGGAGCCCCTGGAGCTGTTCCGTGTGGAGATAGAGGTCTTGGACATAAACGACAACCCCCCGAGTTTCCCGGAGACGGACATCACGGTGGAGATCTCCGAGAGTGCCACTCCGGGCACGCGCTTCCCGCTGGAGAGTGCCTTTGATCCGGACGTGGGTTCAAACGCGTTACGCACATACGACGTGACCACGAACAGTTACTTCCACCTGGACGTACAGACTCAAAGCGACGGGACGCGCTTCGCGGAGCTGGTGCTGGAGCGTGCCTTGGACCGGGAGCAGCAGGCGGCGCACCGTTACGTGCTCACGGCTGTGGACGGGGGACAGCCCGCGCGCACCGGGACCGCGCTACTTGTGGTTAAAGTTCTGGACTCGAACGACAACGTGCCGGTGTTTGACGCGCCCGTGTACAGCGTGACAGTGGCAGAGAATGCCCCCGTGGGAACTCTGCTCATTCAGCTCAACGCCACAGACCAGGACGAGGGCCCTAACGGGGACGTGCTGTACTCCTTCAGTAACCACGTGAGCAGCCGCGTGAAGGAGCTGTTCGGTGTGGAGGCGCGGAGCGGGCGCGTGGAGGTACGGGGGCACGTGGACTACGAGGAGAGTGCGCTGTACCAGATCTCCGTGCAGGCGCGTGACCAGGGGCCCAACGCCATCCCCGCTCATTGCAAATTGCTGCTCACTGTCACCGACGTGAACGACAATGCACCGGAGATCACGTTCAGTACCGTGAGCGAGTCAGTGAGCGAGAGGGCGGCCCCGGGTACTGTGCTCGCGCTGCTCAGCGTCACGGACAAAGACGCAGGAGAGAACGGACAGGTGCACGTGGAGATCCTGGGGGACGTCCCGTTCAAACTCAAGTCCTCCTTTAAGAACTACTACACTATAGTGACAGACGGGGCCCTGGACCGGGAGCACGTGGACTCCTACTCCGTGACCGTGGTGGCACGTGACAGCGGCACGCCCCCGCTGGCCTCCAGCAAGTCCATCCGCGTGCACGTGTCTGACGAGAACGACAACGCGCCTGCTTTCACGCAGCCTGTGTACGACGTGTACGTGACGGAGAATAACGTACCCGGTGCGTACATCCACGCAGTCAGTGCGCGGGACCCGGACGTTGGGGCGCACGCCCTCCTCCGGTACTCCATAGAGGAGTGTGACATCCAGGGCATGTCTGTCAAAACCTACGTGTCCATCAACGAAGACACGGGCTACGTGTACGCGCTGCGCTCCTTTGACTACGAGCAACTTAAAGAGTTCAGCTTCAGCGTGCACGCGCAGGACTCTGGGGCCACGCCCCTTGCCTCTAACGCCACCGTCAGGGTCATCATCGTGGACCAGAATGACAACGCACCCACGGTGCTTGCGCCTCTGGGCAAGAACGGCACTGCTCGTGAGCCCCTGCCGCGCTCAGCTGAGCCCGGGTACCTGGTCACGCGCGTGCTCGCCATGGACGCAGATGATGGCGAGAACGCCCGTCTGTCCTACAGCATCCAACGTGGGAACGAGCACGCCATGTTCCGTATGGACTGGAGGACCGGGGAGCTGCGCACGGCTCGTAGAGTGTCGGTGAAAAGGGACCCCCTGCCCCGGTACGAGCTGCTTATAGAGGTCCGGGACCACGGGCAGCCACCACTGTCCTCCTCTGCCTCTGTGCAGGTGCTGCTGGTAGACAGTGTGGCGGAGGGCCGCGGGCTGGAGCGTGGGGGGTCAAAGGTCAAAGAAGGAGCGTTAGATCTCACGCTTATCCTCATCATTGCTCTGGGATCTTTGTCCTTCATCTTCCTCCTCGTCATGATTGTGTTGGCCGTGCGTTGCCAGAAGAAGCACAAGAGCACAATGGTCACATGTATGAGCCCAGACTGCTGTGTGGGCTCCTGTAGGGGCCCCTGCTGCTCCCGCCAGGCCCGGGGCCGTCAGAAGAAACTCAGTAAGTCCGACATCATGCTGGTGCAGAGCGCCGTGCACGTGAGCGCGCCCACACACGCACAAGTCCCGGTGGAGGAGTCTGGGAGCTTCGGCTCTCTGCAGCAGAAACAGAACTACTGTTATCAGGTGTGTCTGACCCCTGAGTCTGCGCACACGGACCTCATGTTCCTAAAGCCCTGCAGCCCCACGCGCTCCGGCCAGGACTCTACGTGCGCGGGCTACAGCGACCCGTGCGCAGGGTACAGCGACTCGCAGCCAGACATCCTGTCCAACGGCAGCATCCTGTCAGAGGTAAGAGCCTGCCTCACACGGGACAGGGCAGCATAGAACAGTAAAAGACAGGGCAGTAGAGGAGAGGACAGAACGGAGCAGGGCAGGACAAACCCGTCTCCTGCAGGACAAGTTCAGTGTTAGACTACACACATTTAAAAAAAATAAAATGAAGGATCATTGCTTTGGTAATGGAATATCCAGAATTACAGTGACCACAGTAGAGTCTTCCCCCACACTGGCTCAAAACCTGGGACCATCCACAGGTTCTGATTGGAAGACCTCTCCTCAGGGCCCATTATAAAGCTGTTAGAATAAGTGATATGTGTCTCTTGTGTGTTCGGGCAAATGTTTTTTTCTTCGTGTGAGCTGCTTTAGGGTCAGGACAATTTCAGTGGCTGTAACAGAAATGGACAAGACCTAATAACACCCTGATCTATTAAGTGAAAGAATTAAAACATGTCTCCATCTCCTGACTTTCAACAAAAACAAGAGAACATAAAAATAAATATAAAATGTGTATCCTATATTTGGAACATCTGGAGTTAAAAATGTTTGAATTACATGTTGAAAATGTAGAGTAGAATAAACCAGGAAAGTAAAATCATCTGGAAATAGAATGTGGATTTTCATCAAGATTATCGCACTTTCTGTTGTTTAACTGAGAAAGTCTGAACAACGTCGTATCTCTTCAAACACAGTCCTTTTGTCATGAAACTCATCAAATATTGTTTGGATACAGATTAGAGGCATGTTTTGTTTTTGAGATAACAATGTGAAACTCAAACATGACTGTTGTTGAAACTGTAATTGTAAATCAAAACTAAAGCCACAATCATCAACATGAATACATATGTTTCACATTTTAAGTAATGTATATATATATATATATATATATATATATATATATATATATATATATATATATATATATATATACATATTCCGGGGGAGACGAGATCCAGTTTCCCTTTTTAAGCCCAGGACGTCGAACCAGATCATAAACCTCAGAAACATCACATATGTGGGTTTTAAGGGTCGACTCAAACACTTATGGAATACTATAAATTAATAACACATAAATAAATTGTAAGTAAACTATAAATAAACTATAAATGATCACACATTGGTGTGATCATTTAAAGTTGGGGTATCTGACTTTCACAAAACATAGTAATTAGTGGTGTAGCTGTGTCTTTAGGGTCATTCTCTTGCTATAAGGTCAATTCTCTTTCAGACTCTGTGAGCTTTTCTTTCATAATGTCCCTGTATTTGGCTCCATCCATCTATTTCTGGTGTCTCTATGGTCTCTCTCTCTCTGGCTTCTTTCTCTCTGGTCATTCTCTGGTCTCTTTCTGGTCTCTCTGAACTCTCTCTGGTCTCTCTTGGTCTCAGTTTGCTTCTATCACTAGTTTTAATATTATGTATTTTAGGCCTCACATATTTAGATCAGCTTTTTCAAACAGAAAAGTGAAAAAGAGACGACCACCCTCACTTTACAGTGTGTTTCTCCGCGTGGCTTTGATAGTTAGGGCTGAAACCTTTCATCAAATGTATCAAATAGTTAAGATTACAAAAAAGCGTTGACCTCGAATAACTGGTCAAAGAATACACTAGTGTCCCCACAACATTTGAGTATGCGCAACATTAACCTGTGTGTGTGTTTATTTCAGACCAAACACCCACGGTCAGAGCTCAGCTACCTGGTGGAACGGCCACGCAGAGTCAACAGGTAAGCACCCTCACACCCTCATAACCCTCTCTTCCTCGTCACCCTAACTTCCTCATCACCCTCACACTCATCCCCAAAAACATCACACCACATACCGGGTATGATCTCCCTATCTCTTCTGACTGCGTATGTTTGTGTGTGTGTGGTGGCAGCTCGGCATTCCAAGAGGCAGACCTGGTCAGCTCTAAGGACAGTGGCCATGGAGACAGTGAGCAGGGGGACAGTGACCACGACGCCATGCACCGAGGACACTCCTCTGGTCAGTAATACTCACCATTACTACTGTCTCTACTCTTACAACTGTCACTACTGCAACAAATGTTAACACTGTCACTGTTGTCACTGGCGCTTCGACCCCGGCAGAGTGAGCACTGCTTGACAAATGCAGAAGGCAAAAAGAGATATAGAATATGAGGTATAATCCTGCGGAGCCTAGACCCTGGTGCTGGTAGCGAAGAGAAAGGATAAAGGGCCGACAAGGCAGTGATGGGGAGGAGGAGGGTTACAGCACAAAACAAAGTGGCTGCTTGAATGAAAGCTTCCTGCAAGATATGAAGCCAGGTGCGGCAGTGCTTATATGCTTGCCAGTTGAGGATTGGCAGCGCAGAGCTTTCTGCTGAGTGTGATGGACTGATGACTGCTGCAGCGCAGCGACAGGGGGAGGACTGAGCAGTGAGTTGTGCAAATGTAGGTCTTCGGTCTTCCAAACTTGAACCTCCGCTTTAGCTTTCTGTGTGCATTCTCAATACACTCCTCTGGTCAGTATACTCCCTCTCTGTTTTATCCCCGATGTGACAAATGTCTAGGGATATTGACAAAAATGCATTTCTCCTATTTGTTATATTGTTGGTGTTTGAGTGAAGATACTCAGATGATGGTGGTCTGCAATGTGCTGCTGATTTGTTGCATGTTAAATAAAAGTTGATGATTATTTTGTAACACACATTTTTACATCAATTTTTAATTTTTAATTTTATCTATTTATTTATTTGACAGGGACAATGTAGTCATACATAGTTACATTATGAAAGATGCAGCTGATGCTGATATCAATATCTCGGATAAATAACAACCCCCTGTCACACACACACACACACACACACACACACACACACACACACACACACACACACACACACACATTACTTGCAGACATGGGGGCAGTGGAGGAAGGGCGCTTCCTCCACTTTGTTACAAAGAGAAAGATTAGGATAACTTATTGAAAATCAAATCAGCAAAACGAATGTGGACCGAGGCAATCCAATCTCCCCAAATGGTGTTAGCTCAAGCGGCCGTGCCTGAAATCATGAGTGGGCTATTTCCAGAAACATTTTAAAACAAGTACAATAATGAGGCTTTTCAAGGAACTAGAACCAAACAAAATACATGTCTATTTTTAATATATTTCTTAAGGATTACCCCTGAATCATCAAGGGGGTCCTTTTCCTCTGTTTGCCAAACGTTTATGTTTGTGAGGAGTGAAGAGGTGTGAAGAATTGTGAGGTGTGAGGAGTTTGGGCCCAGATCCACCATAGCCACATGAGGAGACTACTTTGTTTTTATTTATTTTTTTCTATTAGGGCTGTCAAACGATTACAATTATTAATTGAGATAATCACAGTTTGAAAATTAATTAATTGTAATTTATCACATTTCTAACTATCGAATGAAAAGACAACCATAGTGTACATCCATTCATCCATTTTCTTCCTCTTAATCCATTACTGGGTCCAGGGGGTGACAGTCAGAGCTGCACCCAGCCCACATAGCACCAGCCCCTCACTGATCCTCCTGGTGCTGAGTCCACAGGAGCTGAGATCTTTCAGCAGGGGCGTCAGGCAAAGTGGGGTAAAGTTTCTTGCCCAAGGACACAATGACAGCAGACATCAGTGAGAGTCGTGAAGTAGGTCTTAAGGTGGGCTCGAACCCACGATCTTTAGGCCCAAAGGGCAATGCTCTACCAACTGAGTAAATAGTAAAAATTGGTCGATTGTCATTTATTTGGCAAAATTGTGTTTTCATTAAATAATTTTTATATAACATCTTGTCTTTAATTTCTGAAAATATCTAGGTGAAATTCACTAGTTTTATACATAAAAAATGTAGATATGTTTTGATAAACGGAATGTTAACGTTACGGGAGCAGCTGCGGCCGCTTTGTGACAGCTGCTTTGGCGAACGCACCATAGACACGCGTTCAGGACAATCCCCAGCTTGTTGCAAGTCCAGGTCTCCCCGTGTCTCCTACCTATGCGTAACCAAAACTCACAAAATTAAAGCTCGGGTACCTAATTTTCCTCTTGCATTAATAATGCATGTTGGTTGTGGGTGGATATTTATACTGCGTGATTTAGTAATATACTGCATAATGATAGAATAATACTGGCCTTGTCTAATACATATATATACTGTTCAGTAACTTATAAAGAAAAAGACACATAAAAAGAAGAGACATAGTTACGTAAAACAAATTCAATTCATTAAATGTTGAATTAATAAATACATTCTTGATTTTTATCTAATTAATGAGTGTTGTGTGTTTGCTTAGTGCCAAAGTAAATTTTTAAAAATCTTTTACAACATAGTGACTAAAATAAATGTGTGCCATAACAGAGTAATTCAATTTAGAATGTCTATCTTTAAACCTGTTTTTCTCAAAATTCCGTTTCATAAAACCATGTTAATAAGCTGACTTCAGATAATGATAACACTTGTTACAAACATGCTATGAAAAAAAGGAAAACAGATTTGAAAAGAGATTGAAAGCAGCTTTACGATGGTGTCAGAATCTTAAGTTGATCAAATTTCACCATTAACATTATTACATCCTGTCTTTCTGTAGTAGACACAGACCAAAACTATTGTTTGTTACAGTCTGAAATGCAGAATGTCATTAAATCTGCTGGATTTTCTCACAACATTTTACTTTTGGAACATCTACAATAACAGTCCTCTCCCTCGGTCCTCTCAGTGGCCGTGTCTCCACTGCAGAGTAGGATCACTCGGCAACGTCATGAGTTTCGATTGCCGCATAAGCAAAACTCATTACGCCAAACCTATTAGTTTATTTTACGGTCGTAACGGCTCCGGTTGTTGTGGTCTTTGAATTTTTTTATTGTCCTGCTTCATTTTTTAAAACTTTTCACAGCTTGTTTTGGAGTGTGATGAATCCCCAGTGCTTCGAGGTGAAGCTGATATGTCTTAAGGCTTGTGTATATGGGTGCGGCGCTGGTTGCGGTTGCGCTGGACCTACATAGCCACAGTCGCTGGTACACTCGCGCGTTCCCCTTTTGAAGAGAATGTAGTAATCCCACACCCAACCACATGATGGCGAACTCACAGGAGTTGCCTGAGAAACCAAAGCGGCCCCATTTACGCTGCTACTTTCTCCTCTTCAGAACCAAAACAATAGCGAACCGAGCTGTTTTAGGTTTACGAGATAGTTCTAAACTCATTGTTTCAACTCTTTTAACTGTGACCCTGTGAATAAAGACTCAGTTCTTTTTGGAAACATTTATTTTTAAAGTGTATTCAGCACAAATTGCAAAACAATTGGTGGTAAATATCTAAGACAAACATTAACTATTTACAAGTGCAAGAGGAATGCAACAGACGCGATGAGCTACGAGTGCAGATTCAAACAAAGACAGGAACAGAGCAAAAGTGAAGCCACGTCACCACCGTAAGCTCCGCGCGACTATACACTAGGATTGAAACTATCTTTTCATTTTGCCGCGAGGCCTCAAACCTCGTCTGAATCAATACCTGCACCTCATCATCCGTCCATTTAACGTACATCTTGCTGTTGTTTGCTGTTTCCAGTGGCGTCTGCTAGGCTAATGCTGCTAGGCTAATGCTGCTAGGCTAAAAACGCTGGATTTTTAAAATGCCGGTTGTTTTGGTGCTTTCTGCTGGGGTCAGAGCCTGCGCTAGCTTTAGCCAATCAGCGCCGGGTTAACCTCAAGCCCAAGGCCAATCTATATTTTATTCTATCACTGTCACTTTGCCTCTGGTCAGGAACGACGGATAACATTTAGCTAGTTGCTATGTCTGGTCTGTGCAATACATATTGTGCGATGTCCCTGTCAACTAAAGAATTTAGTAAATGTTGTTTTAGCTTAAGTGCAACGCTGGAACGTGAGGTGCTTTCTAAGACCCCAGGACACTGAGGGGCATTCATAGAGCTCGGCCACTACAGCTACACTACAGAATATGAGGGAGTCTTTATATCCAGTCTGACCCTTCTGAACACAGGGCTGTCAAACAGTCCTGGATCTACAGCCTCTGAGGGTTGTTTACATGGAGACGCTGCCACAATAAAACAATTGGGTATCGGATTGGCCTTTCATTCACCAGAAAACGTTTGCATTGAGAAACGGCCTCCAGAGTGGAACAAAACAGATACACTACGTGGCTGGGGCTGTACCATGTATCATGTATGGTACACAAATGAAATGAATTGAAACTAGATACTATTTTTAGCAAATATCAATACTAAAAATAACTTAAAACAGCAGTCATCTTGGGGTACCACATGTAGGAAACCTATGCAGACACGGGGAGAACATGCACACTCCACTCAGAAAGGCCTGGATTCTTACTGAAAAGTGAGAATGCTTATCACTCTCCATCTAGCCACTGTGCCGCATTAGAAGTGCTGGAAAGAAGCAATGCTAAACATCTAAAGCAACAAATGCACTTATTTACTGCCCTGGTCTGCTCTGGCCAGCACCAGACCTTTATTGCACAAATGTACCTGACTACACTATACTGACTGTGGAAGGAGTGGACTGGTGGAGAAAGTGGTGCATCTGACTTAGATAGATAGATAGATACTTTATTGTTCCCACGTAGGAGAAATTCAGGTATCCTGCAGCAGAAGACTCATCCAGGTTTGTTGTACAGTCTGACAGCCGAAGGAACAAATGATCTCTTGAAACGTTCTGTTCGGCAGCACAGTGATAGGAGCCTGTTGATTCGATTACTCCTCTGAGCGGCCATAGTGTCATGCAGAGGGTGCCTGGAGTTACCCAGGATGCCCTGCAACAGAGCCCTCATCCTTCTCTCCTGGACAGTTCCCACAGAGTTGTCTGGTGAACAAAAGTTTCGATGCCCCTGTTAACGCCAGTACTGTATATACATGATGTATATAATATGATGACATGGACAAAAATATACATTAATGTTCTTGAAGGTATTTCCATGTTTTAACCTCGAACCTGTTTTACCCCTAAACCTGTGCTGATACCACGTATTGTTTAAATCGTGCTTAGAATCCTTATTAGTGTCCTATGTCCCCCCCCCTTCTCTTCCTTTCTCCCCCATCCTCAGGCTCCCCCTTCTCTGAGCAGGACTTTGTTATCGGGCAGAGGGGAGACGGGCTGTGGAGATAGAAAAACTCCTCTTTAGGGCTGCACGGCACGTTATCGCCACAGTAACAGCCCGCTGATCGCTAATTCATTTCTCAGACCTCTGCATACCAATTACCAAATGAAGGTTATTATGGGCTTTTCGGGTCGAGCTACTGCTGGCCAGAGCTGCATGCTGATGTGAGGAGCAGAGCTGAGTCGAGCCAGGGCCATGGCCAGAGCCTGGTTTATTCAGAAAGAATACATGTTACACATACACATACAGTATTATCCTTAAACATGATCTTTGGAATACTGACTTACATGTTCAAGAATGTCCAATAATTTTTGAGCTAGTTTGGATATGCGAGGGGGACCAGCGGTGCATAATACAGGCAGGAGCCAAGCTGTTGTGGGAGCAAGGAACTGGTTGCACGCATGTTGTTACATGGTTGGCCTGTTGTGGTTTGGGGGCTAGGACTGAGCTGTAAGTAACAGTGTCTGAGTGGTTAGCACTCTCACTTCAGCAAGAAGGTTGACAGATGCATTTCACCAGATAAGTGGGTGGATGGGATTTTATTTTCTTATCATTTTTATTTTCACACTTATCGATAAAACAAGTACATGGTTTGGAAAAGAGGTTGAATGAAGAAAACACACTAGGGATCTTTTTTGACACTTTTGGTGCAACTATGGTTATACATAAGCACACAAGCACACACACACACACACACACACACACACACACACACACACGCACACACACACACACACACACACACACACACACACACACACACACACACACACACACACACACACACACACACACACACACACACACACACACACAGTCTGCTCTCTGTGTTGTGTCTTTCTGCTGTGCTGCTAAATATTTCATATGAATCCCTGTTGTTAAGAGTCTGGGCACTTTTCCAAGCTGTTAGTGACGACAAGCCAATTTAATCGGCTTTGTAACAAAGCAAATTCCCGGTGTGCTGACTGTTGCGGACACAGGCCCTCCTCGTGTGCACACAGGGATTTGGCCATTTACAAAAATGGACACTATTTGTGATTTACAGCTCGCAAGTTTTTAATAAGACAGAGAGTTTAAAGACACTAGTACTGCTTGAAGGCGACTGAGTGGATTGCACTCTAGCCTCAGCAGAAGGTCCTGGGTTCGAATCCCGGTCGGAGACATGTTCTGAGTGGTAGTTTTCCGGTTTTCCCTATACCACTATGTAGGTAAAATCCTCCAGCTCTGGTAGTCCTGACCAAGCGAGCATCAACATCTGGAGATGGGTCCCCGGGCGCTGTACTACGGCGACCACTGCTCCTGACGTAAGCCTTTGTGGCTTCAGGATGGGTCAAATGCATTTTGAAACATGAATGTCACCTGGATTGGAACCCGGGTCGTCGTGACGAAAGTGCCGCAACTTAACCACTAGACCACTACTACATACAATACATGACAGTCCCCAGGCAGGGTTTTCAACTGTTAATGAAGAACGTGGGAAGTTTTGCATCAGACGAAAAGTTTTTATCCGCCAACTCTTCACTGCAGGTAGCTGTTGTAAGCCTGTACAAGTCGACCTCTTGTGTCAAATCAGTCAGCCCTCGGGGGCCCCCTGTCGGTTTGGGGGCCCCAGGCAGCTGCCTCTCTTGCCTATTGGCAAGGGATGCCTCTGGGCACAGGTGTTTAGTCGCTCTTTAATTACTGCTTAAAGACCATGTCCCCTCAGAGTCATCAGACTGACCACGCCTCCTCAGACTGATCACCCCCCCAATGGTCAATGGTCTCTGGAGAAGTGAGTCCCAAGATTACCCAGGGTGTTTGCCCCCTCGCCTATGTTGATAGTCCAAGTCCTTGTGCCTCTGGTCTCCATCTTTTGTACTAATGTTCTTCTGTTCCTTCTTCTGTTCTTTTTGTTCTGTTTCTGTTCTGCAGGGGTCAGAAGTTGCTGATTTTAGGTTTTTCTGTGTTGCTTTTTCCTCAGTTGATCTCATTAGCCATAAGCAGTACTAGCGTCTTTATACTCTTTGTCTCATTAAAAGAACCTTATAATCCATGAAAAACAAACATGAAGAAAACATAATGATTTCTGTACATCTATTATTTGTGATGAAACCCCTTTGACTTCTTATTTCGTTTTTTCCAGTATTTTCCCTGAGGTAGGAGTGTTTAA